GCAGTTGAAAACAAGGTTGTCCTATGAGCAAATGATTCAACGTCGACTTCACTACGTCAAAAAGAAGTTTGGAAGAGCATAGAAAGACAGCTCGCTTTATGGAATCATGGACCTAAGGACGATCACTTAGAAGTTGCATACTAGTCTTCAAAATAAATATGAAAGAGGCAAACTATGAACGGAGATGAATAAGGAAATAAACGAAACTTGCTGAAGTGCTGTGGGAGTGAGAGAGCTTTAGACATGAACAAACACTTGAGATATCAATCAAATGTATGATAATTGAAAGAGGGGAAATTAAACGCGATGGTCTGTGAACGGTAGAAGGTTGAATGTTTCTGTAATTGCCTCGGAGTGGGCAGATTGCTTGGTTGTTTGCTTTATCACTTGATTAGTTCGCTCGGTCACTTGGTGAGGTCGATTGTGATTTGCTTCTGACATATCCTGAGATACGCATCCAACTGCTTCGTTTGGTTGCTTGTTCTTTGCTTTTGGCATAACTATAAATACAATTACGATTGCTTGGATTGTATTTAGGCCGACGTTATGTGCAGCAGACATGTAATTGAAAATTAGATCATTGAACTCAAAAAGCCCATTTTAAGGTTAAGTAGAGACTGTGGGGTAGGAAAAGTCTCTATGGTTAGATTACAACGTTCTTTAGCGAGGTTTCAAAACAGTCGATTACAATATGCCTAATAATCGTTATCTGAGCCACGCATGTCATTGGTCTGTCAAACAGGGCTGGCTTATAGAGCCCGATACACGTGTTTCGATCTTGCGATCTCGTCAGTCGGGCAGTTACCCTTTCTCGTCTTTTGCTAATCTCGGTGGGTGCTCCAGTCCCCACACTAAGAGTTAGCGACGACGAACGTTTTACACTCAATGTCCAGTGAAAATCTCACCAAACATAGAGTGTTGTACACTCAGTTGCTCTTGGCTGGTATATTCAATAGATCAAAACTTTCGTTTCGAGTGTTTTCTTCAAGACCACTGCTCAAATTTCAATATGCCCGATAATCATTATTTGAGCCACGCATGTCAGTGGTCTGTCAAACAGGGCTGACTTCGTCGTCGCTAAATCTTAGTGTGGGGACTGGAGCACCCACAGAGATTAGCAAAAGACGAGAAATGGTAACTGCCCGACTGACGAGATAGCAAGATCGAAACACGTGTATCGGGCTCTATAAGTCAGCCCTGTTTGACAGACCACTGATCATGCGTGGCCCAAATAATGATTGTCAGGCATATTGAAATTTGAGCAGTGGTCTTAATAAAACACTCGAAACGAAAGTCGAATGCAATGTTTGTTACATATGCCCATGTAATAGCCATACGCCATGCAGTTGACAATCACTTGAAACGAACGCTACAGTGATTGTTTCAACGTATGTCGAGTGTAGAAAGTTCGTCCCGATTCTCTACGTACCGACAGATCTCCAAGGAACTGACTGAACGAAAAGGCACCTTGAATTGACGAGGCTGGAAGGCTAAAACACGTGTCTTGCACTGTATTAGTGCCCATAACAGACCTCATGAAAAGTTCAATTCACGCAGTGCTGCATATTCAAATTTTTGCTCTCACAAGCGTCCTCTTGGTAATGGTGAGAGGGCAGGTGAGTGAAGAGGTATTGAGGAAGCATGGTTTTACTTCTTGACTCTCGGCACCATTGAGTGATGAGCCGTTTTCAAGTAGGTTGATTCGAACGATCAAATAACAGTTGTCAGTATTCTTTTGGTTCCTCTAGGATGATTTCTATGCACGATGACTGTCCTCCAACAATTTGTAATATCCGTCAATCTTCTTTGATGCAGATCAGATGACAAAACCGTCTCTAAAATTTGAAACAAAAGAAACCGAAGGCAGTTGTAGTAATCCCAGAACCTCTTCAGATTCACATTACCATTTTCTGTAGAGCGATGGTGGGGATCGATCACTGATGCTTTCACTTCGGACATAAAGGCAGTAGTAAGACTAAGTGCAAGTTGCAGCTCCATCGCCAACTTTTTCATTGTATGTAAAGCTTCCCGGAGTATCAAAAGATTGAGTAAACTGAGCACTTTTTCAAGAGAGCCACAACCTTTTGGAACAATATACCATGCGGATTTTTCGCTCCTACGTGCTGTATAACGATTTCAAAGATGACTAGTAAAGCTGGATCATCGGTCATGTTTGCACAAAGTGCGGTTAAAGTGAAAAGATATAATCACGTACGCCTTGGAAGGACGCGCGTTACATAGAAGATTCAGAAACATGTATGTTCCGTAAGAAGGGCTGCCATGTTTATTTCAAGTGAGCTTATTCGGGTTATTATATTAGGGTTAGAAACCATGCTATAAGGTTGAGGAAAAAGTTCTTCAACGCACGCAAAAATTCAGAGCTTATACTCAAATGAAAAGCAACAACATGTGTTCTTCAGATCAAGACCATCATTATTCACGACCTTCTGCAACGATCTGCAAGCTACCGGATCTGCTCGAATTCGCCACCCTTGGGCTTTCAATCAAAAACTCCCGACATGATTCTTCAATTTGATCAAACGTCTCGAATCGAAGTTCACACAGGAAATGCTCCATTGCAGGAAAAGACCATAGCAGGACGGCCAAGCTTTTGGACTGTAGGCTAGATGCGGCGAGACCTCGACTCCCTCCATTTTATCAGCTTTTTCTTAAGTCTTCTTGCGGTATGACGCTTAGCACTATGTTGCTGAAACAGCGCGCTCTTTTGGCTAATCAATGTTGGGTATGCTATCCTGCAACGCATCGTAAACTCGATCCACCTGCTCTCTTACGGAAATATTCCTGCAAATTTCCAAGAATTGATAATAAACGATAGTGTGTGAAACAAACATAAACTTTGGACTTCTAGCGGGAGCTTTTCTTTAACCTAATATTATATCCATAGATCCATCTACACTGCTGACTATGGGTCTAACTCTAAATATGTCAGTAAATGATAGATTGTCAGAGGTTGCTAGCATAAACGTTTTGATATACACAAGACTGCGAATGTTTGCAAATCAGCTATAAGCCCATAAATCACTGATAGTTTTGAACCCGCTCAACTCCCACTTCAAATCATTCGATAATGAAGTTTCAGTATAGACTTTCAAAATCTACCCAGATGATGAAGATAAAACAGGCACATTCAAAATGCTTTTCCTTCATATAAAGATTAAAATAACAAGGAATTGCTACAGAGTTTCATCCTCATTGTTAATGGATAATATGATGGATCCTAGCAGCTCTCGCATCTCTTGCCTGTCACATTTTGTGTTTCTATAGGATTGGACCAAAACTACTTCAGGCGACAATATTAAGAGACTTTGAATTTCGTTCCGAAAAGATCCTAGACTTAGTGTCAACTTTATCGTTAAGATCTTGTTGTTGAAAGAACGATTGAGAAAGTGGCGGTAGAGACAATGCCCGAACCTTCTTTTGTTCACTCCAATTTGGTGTTTCAAATCTAAATTGCTACGAATCTACTTCCAAGTTCGTGAAAACTATTTGCCGCTCTGCTCCGAGTTACCTTAGAGATGGAGTCAGTTGGTAAGGAGTCTAGGCTCGGATCAGAAAGTTAGAGCTCACCTTCAGAGAAGGGCGTGCTACCTAGTCACATCCGACTTTTATGGCGCATTGCTGAATCCACAACGGAATTTTTATGGGCGTCATTTTTACATTATTAAGTTTTTACTATTATGTCTACAAGTTCTTTCGGTAAAGATAGTCTAGCGCTCAATCTGATAGAGTTGCAAATTTACACTGACTCATCCACTATTCTCCTTCAAAAGCGGTTCTCCAAATCTTGAACAGAATGACATTTATTAATTTTTTGCCTAGAATATCAATAATAAATTTGGCATCAAAACATTAATCTCAACTTTCTAAACGTGAAAAAGGTACACTCATAGAACCAAATAAACATTTTAATTGCTTGTATCGTATGCAGGCGCTGAGTAGTCGCATTTTGATGCCTAGTACTCGATGGTTATCCTGCTGTAAAACCGCATACAATAGCTTTGTGTGCCTCGTCTCCACGCGAGAAATTCGCAAAAAACGGTTCCGTGAAGAAGCTGCTTTATTTCTAATGCAATAAAATTTATATTCCAAAGCTTTTTTGTTGAGATTAGAATAGGATCGCTCTGACTACATTGCAGTTGGCTTCGCCTTTACAGTCTATAAGAAAGGATAAAGCTCTTGATATTGATCAATCCCTGAGGGATGCGCCATGCATTCTACTTCAGTTCACAACTTTGTTCTGAAGTGATAGAATGCATATCTGGCTATTACGAAGACTCGCGTTAGCCTCTCGTTGTGTCGAGTCAGTGCTGCTTGTCCTCCCAGACAAGTCTGAGACAATTGCGACATGGATGTCATTTTGTTTAGACATTGTCATTAATCGTAATCGACTGTAAAAAGACCCACAGAACACTTCATGTTGTCTGGTTTTAACATACTGTATCTCCCCTTCCCACTATGTAGTGATGATGATCAGTGGTGCATGGGCTCTGATGAGGCGGACGAGACCGCCGCAACGTGCTTATGCCACTGATAAGCCTAACCTTGTAAAAGGCTAAAAACTTTCTCTCAAATTGCATACTGTATGATAATGTCTTTTTATGCATATTCGAGACTTCCTTTTGGCGCATTTGCTCATTTTATTCTTTAGAATGGATTCACATTCGCATCCTTTTTCGTTGATTGTAGTGTTTTTTAACTTCCTTGTTTATGCACTGTTGGATAGCTTTCAACATCAAGGATCTGTAGGACGAGAATGGTTTTTTCATAGCTCATTTTAAAAAAACTCAAATTCGAAATTTCTCGATGTCTAACTCACTTAAACTTTTCAAACGTGCACCATTTCTCATCTACGTATTTACTAAGCATAACATCGTATATGCGCAGAATTATATGCGCTTAGAAATCATTTTTATTTGACCGCAACTTGCGGTGTTATGATATTTAGATATGCCCAATAATATAGAGTGCTGTGCAAAAAACGCTTTCAGCCGGGATTTGAACTCAGATCTCACTCTTTCCGGGAGCAAATGCTAACCGTTACACCACCGAAGCGTCTTGAAAGGAGTGAGATCCGCGTACGAATCTCGGCTGGCGCAAACGTTTTTGCACAGCACTCTACATTTCGGTAATGCGCTTAGTTTGGGAGCATTATTCGAAAATTTTACCACTTTAGGCCGTGGCCGAGTGGTTGTTATGCTCGTGGCGACGCGTGCCGCCGATCCCAACCTCCCCCCCCCCCCCTTCCCTCTTCAATACCCCGCTTCAGTCAACAACGATTGTCCCATGAAACGCTGTCCTCGAGATTGCAAGGAGATGCACTCAACCAGTATTTCACGGCTTCCAAAAAGAAGACGGAAAACGATTAAATTTCAGAAGTACCGGGATTCGCACAGTGAAAAGACACTGTGAAGACGGATATTGGAGTGCCAAAGATCATAATTAGTCTGATGTTTGCTGCCGTTTATTTGATCGATCCTCAGTTATTAATAGACTATTTGGATATGTGCCAATGGAAAAATAATAGTCATTGTTCGATTACGTAATGAGATTGTCGAAAAGGCAGATAATCTATCTCAAAATAGTTATATTTCAAGTTTTGTTGTTGTATGTCAATGCATGTCTGTTCATTGAATAAGTTCACTATTTACGTTATCGTCCTGTTCCCCTCTTAACCTGTCCATAGCGTATTTTTGAATGTCTTACTACGATATACAGATAACTTTCACATCAACGCTGGGCCGCAAAGTCCATCAGTTCGATATTCTGCCAATCTCTCTCTAAAACCAGTAATATTAGAAGCGCTGTAAGAGACTGTCCACTGACTGTATCTAATGAGCTAGCAGGGTCCAATGGGCAACATAGGTATACGACGGGACAAATGTAATGCTAAGTGCTTGGTAGTATCCGGGCATCAACGCATGGCACTCTAATAGGCAGTGCTGGTGATAGCTAATAGATTTTCGTATTCTTCCAGAGAAGGAGAAGAGAATGGGGCGCACAGTGATACCTGTAATAATACTACCCGGATATCATTCCTGTGACAAAATCCTTCTCGAAATCTTGCTTCCTCAACTTTTTGAGTTTCGCAATTGTCTACTTGGGCAGGAACTTGAACAAGTTCTCATTCCAGACCACCACCTTCGATCACTGGATTTTGACTTGGTCGCTAACTCTAGACGAGGACCAGGAGTGCCAATGAATCGACTTGATGACTGAATAATGAGTCTACGACAAAACATCATAGTTACTCAGTGTGCAATAAAACAAACTCCGTCACCCAAATTCTTAGGTAGCCCTCGTCTTCATGAATCACTAAGCTAACGCGTGTTGGAGTACCTTTTTATTGCTCTCTATTCAAACGCTCCGAAAGATTATACATATCATGCAAACACTGCCGATCTTGCGCAAGGGATTCGACTTCAAAAAATAGAAAACATAATAGTTAAATAAAAAAATCACGTATAGCATATTTAGGAGCGCATGTGGCGAATTGGTTAGAGGCTCTCTGCCTCGCACACGAGGTCAGTGGTTCGACCTCGCTCTCATTCCATCCCTCCGAGGTCGGTAAATTTGTACCAGACTGGTCTCAGACCTGTCTGAGAGGATAAAGCACTAACTCGGTTCAGCAGGAGGCCTCCGCGAGTCGTTGTAAAGGCTAGATATGCATTCAATCACCTCAAGCGGAGTTAAAAATTAAAGACGAATCAATGGCGCGTCCCTCAGGGATTGATCAACGCCGAGAGTTTTTTATGCTTTAATAGGATATTCATGAAAATAGACTTGCGTAAATAGGCCATGATTTTGAGTCCACATTTCCTTTTTTATCCTGCCCGTAATCATATAAACATTTATTGTAATCAAAATACACTGGATTTATGGGTAAATACCAATATGAAAGGAAGATCTCGTGTCAATGAAATGACGAAAGTCGTAGATATTGGTATCGTACTGATGGCTGTGTTGAATTTTTTTTACTACCCTTTGAATGCATTAGATTCAATGCGCATAGTTTGGATCATACCATAGCGAAACGTTTCAGCATTTCTCATGCAGCATTTGTTCGATTTCGTTCGCGACTGGTAGGAGCAAGTGAACTTGTAACAACTTTCCGCATGTTGTAACAAGTAGGGTAAAAAATAAGGCGAAGGAGCGCAGTTTAGTGATGCAATGCACTAGGAACAGAGTCGGTAAAGAACGTGCCCAGGTTCCGTCCCATCCCCTAATACTCCCTTGCAATCAATCAACTGATCACCTAGCTGGCTACTTGGCTAATCCCGAGATTGGAAGGAGAATCGTCTCGACTGGCATTCTCCACATATTATAGAGAAGACGAAGCCCTGAATTGGTAGCCGAAGCAACACGTGAAATGTTTCGAGACCTTTGTGGAGTATGAGGGATCGGATTGAATCCAAGTGGTGCCAAGATCATACAGAGTGACACTTGATAACGGATGGTATTTTGATAAATGATCAAAAGTGCAAGATGACGTCATAGTAAAGCCTTTGATTCAATACAAAGGTTCAAGCATGTTTTTTACTAAAGCAAAGAGTCCGAGGCAAAATTTGGTCTAATCATTGCGAATTATGGTGAATCGGATGATCCACACAGTATGCCACCCATTCCGCATTTCTATGATCTTCTATCTCTCTAGGTGGTCGGCGACTCTCCTTCTCTCTCTCTCTCTCTCTCTCTCTCTCTCGTCGTTCTCTCTGGGGTGGGCCTTTCCCATTCGCTCTCCCACTCCCGCTCTCTTCTAGTCGCTGTGTAGATCGGTTATACCGCACGGCCACCTACATCCATTGTGTTATCCACACACTCATCGCCATAGCCACATGTTTCGTTATTTACTACTACTAGCCGTCTCGGAAGGTAAGCAGTGTTCCACTGAATATCCGAGCTTTTCGCTTTATTCTAGGCTTAATCTTGAGTACTCTTCCGGTTTCGATCACAGATTACATCAAGCAAAACACATATGTGGTAGATGAAGCGCCACCACGATGGTGTTTCTTCTTGGTGTTCTTCTTTTCTTTCAATGAGAATAAAGTTATTTTTATGTTGAGTGGGATATAAATGGTCTTCAACAAGATAAAAATTCTAGGAAATAAATGACGAAATTCCGCTCGTCGTCTGCAAACTGGAGTTTGACACCGAAATATTCTGCTGAACTAGTCGTTAATTTGGTTCCGTGTAGAGTTCTGTGAGATTGTTTACTTGGGCATTGGTCATGCAGAGGAGGCCAATCGAAGTGTCATATTTCCTTCTGGTCACGAACGACGTTAGCATATTGCTTCTCGAGAATGATAATTTCGGCATTGTCTGAGCGAAGCAGGATACGAACTGAGATAAAGCTAATAAAAGTAAAGATTTATATTAATGCATTCTTACGACCGTCATCACAATGTACTAAGCGCATCCGAGCACTATTTGTATTCAATTCGTTTCCTCGCATTCGTCCTCAACAAAGATTTTCGAACATCTTTGTGTTAGAATCCGGTTATCGATTGCAAAAAGTGTCAGATGGGGGATTGAACCAACGTTTGGCTTGTCACATTGCTTCCTGATACATGCTTCACCGACTAGTGCACAACCTACCGCTCAAGAATTGGCTATACGAATTTCTCGTTTTTGAAAAGTGTATATAGAGACATTCGCTTCTTTCTTGATGGTTAGGCACGAGGTTGTTAGACAAGATGTACTCAATAAGAAATCGGTTGACGTTTTAGCAATTCCGGTTTTTAGAGCCTCGAAGGGTCGCATCGATACACGATCTATTCACTCAAACACTTCTGTTAATATAGAACAGAGTCTTATCTGCTTAGGTTAAGACGAAGAGTTATTGATCATCTCTGGAGTTAATAGAAAGTTCTTCCTGTCTCTGATTGAGAAATATTTGAGAAGACAACAGGAACCATTCTATCCGAGATCAAGGTTGACGATACCGTATCTTCCTTTGATACAGATGCAGAAGAGCGCATTTATTCCATTATTTAGATCTGTGAATGGCATTATTTTTGCTTATCGCTGGACTTCACACTGTCTCTCCCTCTCGCTCTCTTCCTCTCTCTCTCTCTCTCTCTCTCTCTTTAGGCATACTATGATTTCTCATTTTAGTAGTGTAGCGAACTGGAAAACAACACCATAGCAAGTTTCATTTTTGCTTGGTGAAGAAAGCAGTTGCTGTCTGCGGTGTCATGCTACAGCTTGAAGAATCGTTCAATGTTGTTCATCATATCATATTATGAATGGTGTATTTTGTCACTTCTTAAAGCTCGCGAACTTATGTTTTGGCTTGAATGAGCTTTGTGATTTGTTGTAGGTGAAATGAACTAGTTTTAGAAATGAAATGGTGCTGAAAAAGAAATGAAATGAAAAACTAGAAATTTGGGTGAAGTTCATATAAAATAGGAGATTGCGAAACGGTATTACCATGAACGTTAATGTGACTCATGAGGTTCATTTCAATTATGCGAACCGCATACTCATAATATCATCGTAATCCTACCGGTTCTATTGAAAATGAACAAACATAGTTGATGAATCATGGGGCAGTTTCTCCTGGTTTCCTATAATCCGATTGAAAACTTAACATAGTGTAAAAATAAATCACTTTACAAATGAATTTTTGAGAATGGCTGATTTTCAGCTACAAAAAATACCGAACCATCGCTTCCAATTGTTCCTCTGAGGGGAAATCGAAAAGAGACTCAATTCGATTTTTAATTAGTGTAACCAAGAAATCTTACTCAAAAAATTTACAGATGGCGCAAAAAAGGAACAAAATGCAAGCTTTAGCTTGATCAAAACAACAGTATAATTTGTCATCGTAGAAGTTGATTCGTAGACTTCATATGTTTTCAAGCTATGATAGAGAAGAGTGAGTGGATGGATAAGCGTTTGCCTTCTGTCGTGTAGTGAGCATGCATCCACGGTATGGGTGAAGCGGGGTTCAACTCCCGTCCACGTTGTGTTTTTGCTCACCACTCAATTCTCTTAGGGATATTTAGGAATTATCATTCGTTGTTCATAGATAAACTCGGTGAGATTTGAGCAGT